ACTAATATTCATTAAAAATCAACATTGACTAGCTTAGACAATTATAAAAACCTGATGAGAAAATATACCTTTGTTGCTTCTATAAATAAATAAATAAATAAATAAGAATAACTTATAAAATAGAAAGGTCATTATTAATTTTTGGCTAGTTTTTATTTTTTATTACTCTTCCTAGTTGGCTTTTCCAGTCTCATAAAAATACTGACTAGATCAGAAAAAGATAGTGAATGTTTAAATCATGTAATAAGCTTATTTTTTAAAAATTTATCTCTAATTCACACTGCTGGTTGTGGAATGTAAAATTGTTGCAATAAAATTAAGATAAAAGAAAAAAATTAGTTAAAATGCATAGATGTAAAAACAATGCATATCTATTTAAGTAGAGTTTGGTTAATCCATATCCTCCTGTCATCATTTTAAACTGCCTTTTTTTTTTTCATACATCTAAACTTTAATTATAAACAATAATTTTGTAAAGCAAAAATTTCATTGAAATATGTTGGAAATTTTACAAGTTTTCATCAGAGATCAGGAAAATACAAACTTTAAGCAAAATGATCACGATATATGGAAAAAAACTGCATTTAAACTGACACTCAGAAGATATGGGTTAATTTGTCCGTAACCTTAGGCAAAATACTCCAGTTATATGAAATTATTTAAATAAACATTTTTAATATGTGCATTTTCAGTTTTAGGCTAAAGTCTGTAGAGTAAGAGCATAAATGATTTTGTCTTTTTTCATCAGTTAATAAATTAAGTACAAATTCAACCAATTTTTACATAAAAAAATATTAATTTTGTAGATTCATAGATGTTTAAAGAAATTATCAAGTGTACCTTGTTGCAGTCTCTGAAGTGACTTCATATAGACAAAATCAGCATAGGTATATAATAATGATAATGAACTACATTAGTAACTGTTTTGTATAAAATAATTTATTTACTTATTTTATTACTTTCTTATTTATCAGTATTCAGTATTTTGAGTGTGTTATCTTCATCAACTTCCTTGTCTTGTGATATTTTTCAGATTTAACTATTGATTTTGTTTTTTGTTTGTTTTGTCACAATATGCAAAACAGTTTTGAATTGTCTTGGTAATTATTCTTCATTGATTGTGATTAGGAGGTTTTCATTAATTTGCACAAGATTAGCATTTTTGTGAGAAAATTACTAATTCTTACAACATATTGTATTAATTATAAATTAAGAATTTTGCATGACACTCCTGATTATATCTATACTGTAGAAGATCTTTTACAGCAGATAACTAATAAATATTTCTTGACTTAATGTTAACTAAGTCAGCAATAATAAACCAAAAAGTAATTTTGTTTGCTCCAATGAAACAAATGAAATCATTATAAATTTACTTAACGAGAATTTTTTTGCAACTCACAGTTAAAATCCTCACAGTTTGGCCTTGTTAATTATATTGTTGAAACTGCAACCACCTAAATAATAGTGACTTAAGAAATGCCTTAAGAGAAAGTCAATCTCTCTTGAAAGGTATGTATGCAGGTGGGGGGGGGTGACTGATGTTCACAGCCGTGGTTAATTTATTTGATGTTTGTCCCCAGTGTAGTATTGGGAGAAATGAGAATGATGATGTGGTGAACTTATTTTGTATGTTAAATAATATAACTTAATTTTTAAAAAAAACATTCATGAAAATTTATTGTACTAAGCTATCCACCCTAGTAAAACCAATTATACTTTGTACCGTCATCCTGTTTGCACTTCTCCCCCAAATTTGGTTTCTATTGGCCAATGTATGGCTATTCAGAGAGTATGATGGATGGATGGACTAATGAAAGTTACAGAATTTTATATGTAGATAGATTTGGGCCAAATAAATGAATAATACCCTGATTAACCTTTAATGAACCTACAATGAACCCTAAATCTATTCTCTGTAAAAAAAATTAGTTGTGTATGTATGAAATCACTTTTTGTATGCTTCTCTTGTCAGGTTTCATAAACATTATTCTAATAATGATTGATTTGTTTTTATAGCTTATCGACCTTTTGCAGGTTATTTAAAGTATCTGATATTCCTGAGCAGTCATCCATCTAGGTACTGATCAGGCTCAACATTGCTTAACTTTGGTGATTGTACAAGAACTCATATTTCAGCATGATGTGGCCATAAGCCTTATTATTTCAAAAGAAAGGTCCATGTAATTAACAGTAAATAATTTTGTACTTTAAGCTGCACTTATAATAGATTTTCTTTTTAGCCTTTTCTTTTTTTTAATTGAACTTAGTAATAATATTTTTGTCCTTCAAAGTCAGATTTATATTTTACATTTTTTAAAAAATAATTGTTCTCTAATAAGAATAATATAACATGCCCCCATCCAATAAAAAAAAAAATACTTACAGTGTATCCAATTTATCTATATATGTAGATTGTATGCCAAGCACTGAAAGCTTCAGTAGTACAATGAATAATGATGGCGTGTACTTAAATTTCTTTCTTTCTCAAAAAAAAAAAAAAAAAATGATGTTCTTATAAACAGGGTATGTCATCTGTTGTCACATAAGTAGACAAATATGTTACTTTGTTGTTGATAATAGTGTGTTTATGTTTCCCAAGGTTTGGTTTAAATTCATTTTGCAGGAGTGTTGGTTTATTTATTTGGACAAGGGATAGGTGATCTTGCCCGGATGGATTATGTTCCTCCACATATGCAACAGAGAACTAACTGATTACTTATTCATGATGAAAAAAGAAATAAAGAATTTGCTTATAATGTAACTACTTCCTCCATGCTGCCAAAAATAAGGGCATTTTAAATATTTCTAATTTTTTATTTGTTTTATTTATTACTGTTGTATTTTACACTTTTGAATTGAATTTAGAATTGTTTATTTTTAATATCCCAGTTTCATAAATACCTTTAAAAAGTCTGTTATTGTCATAAAAGCACTGTCACCTGGTGTTACCAGTGCTAGCGATATTAACTTTAGTACAGAAAAATTATAGATATTTACTTGGTGTATTATGATTGTAAAATAATTATGATTAGCAGAACAGCCACTCAGTAAGCTTCTCAAAGGATTATCTTCATCTTGTGTACTTACAATGACAGTTGTATTTTCATTTAGTAGATATGTTTGCTTATTGTACTGTTCACACTCCTCTCCAGTTTTTTGAACAGGGGTAGAGGTTTATCCCTTGTTCCCTGATTAGGTTTCTGGTTTCTTCTAGAGTCTTTTCCTTCTCTTTCACTCTCAGTAGCCTCATGTGTCTTAGTGGCATTATCACCTTGCTTGGAGTGAATTGACAAAAATATATACATCGCCAAAGTTTGATAAGTTCAAATATAATTATTCGCTAAATTTTGATCTGAAATGTTAACTGTATTATTTTTGATCTGCAATTTAATATTTACCATTGAATTAAGTCCATTGATAAAGAATGAAATAATGTTGAAAAATACTTGTTGAGTAAAATAAATACTTTTTTGTTGTCAGTTTGTGGACTTACTGATGTACTAAGATAATTTCCAAACCTTGTTTAATTCATTTTAAGAATAGTGCTGTCAGTCTTTTTTTTTCTAGGACAAGCAGAACAATAGAGCCACTAGGATGCAAGGGGTTACTGAGTGTTAGAGAATATGAGAAAAACTACTATTAAAGAGAGAAGGCAATAAAAGAACAAGAATTAAGAAAACAGAAGATAATGACTGACATTGCATTTAAATTTTTGAAGATCAAACTTGACTGCAAAGCAAGAAGCTTGATAAGAAGTGCAATAGAAGAAGCTGTTAACATAGAACTTATGGTTACATCTCACCATTTCAACTATAAAATGATGAGACCTTGCCACCAATCTAGTACTGAGCTTAAATTCATAAAGTCTAGGTATCATAGTGAAAAGTTCATCAGAACAATTACTATGAAAGTATTTATAGAAAAGGCACAGGAAAATTATGGTACAGCAATGGGAAAGGGACTGAAGATAAGATGCCAGTCCTGTTTTAGAAAAAAAAATGATTTAAATTCTGCAAGGTGTTCTATCTATTAGAAATATAAATATTAAGCAGTACAAAAATTAATTTCTCAAAATTTCATAAAATTACATAAGTTGTGGGTTATAGATTTAAAAAAAAAATTTTTTTACCAAGATTTTCAAAAAAGGAAACATTTTTAAAATAATTTTATTTGGGAATAACTCTTGAAAGTTTCATTAAAATTTGACAGTTTATTTAATTTTTGCAAAAATTTCCAAATCAGTATGTCTTTCACTGCAAAAAAGATGCCAAAATTTCCTATACTAATCTTTGGTAACCAGCTGATGCAAGAAAAACAAATTTTTTAACCAAAATTTCAAGTGTTCTGAAAAGGATCAAAAACATAATTTAATAATTAAAAAATCCTTTGGTCTTTTCTTTTAATAACATAAAGATTTTGACAATAAAAATTTGTTTTTATTAAGTTTGGTGCATTTTTTCATCATGGTATGTTCATTTTTTAGTGAATCTGTGGAGGTACCTTTACTAGTGTATATAAACAAAGGTTTGGGGAAGGTAAAGATTAAGGTTGTAGATTTGAGTTTCTATAACAATTGGCTTTTATAACTCAGTTGATAGCATGGCAACTGTTCTAAGACAATCTTTTTGTAAAAAAAAGAGAATGTAAATTTGAGCCTCATTGTAAGCTTATTCTTCATTTCCAATTTTCACTGTTCTAATGACTGTAGAATGACTTTGATAAAAAGTAAATGAAATTGAGATCAAGCAAATATTAGTCAAAAATTATTTTAGAATATCCTTGTTTAGTTTGCTTTCATAGACTGAAAAAAATCTATTGGTATTTAGTATATTTTTCAACTGCTACATGTTTAATTATCTTCCTTTGATATCATTTGTAATGTTTTGTTGTTGCTGAAATATTTATGTCAATATTTAATGATTTTTATTTTTTTTCCCACCATTTTTTATCTAGGTTTTTTTGTATACAGATTTTACAAATACTGGAGAAAATCGACAATGCCAGAAATACCATCTGTCGTGCTACCTGATGAAGATGTGAGAATTATTTGTCATCACGAAGAATGGGATCGTGTATATCCAGAATTATTGAAAGAATTAGAAAAGTTCAGTGTAAGTCTATGATTAGATTAAATTCTTATTGAATTGGTAGTCAGCTGCTTCTATTTTCCATTGTAAAATTTGTCTAATACAGCTTTCAGTGGTTCCTATATTTGCAAGACTTTTCTTTTACATTTGCATCGAATATATTGGTAAAAGAATTACTAACCTGAATATCTATTTTGAAAAGTATGTAAGATAGGTACAGTGGCAAACAGGTTTATTCTGTATTTCTATCTCTTTCTTGAATTCTTTCCTTTGATGTGTATGATGCTTTTTGATTTTGTATTCTGGATTAGAGAGTTTCATTTTGTATCTGTTTTTTAGCTGAACTATTTTTGCTTATTTTTTTTTTTTTTACGTATCAAGGGGGGGTAAAAGAATCAGGTCTCTGCTACTCTCCTTCATCATATATAGAGCCCCTTATTTGTTCTTAACGCCTCATAAATTATTTATTACCTATTTTCTCCCATCAAATTGTCATATTTATAAAAGTGAACTACATAGAAATCTGCAGATTTCAGGTAGTAAGAATTGGTCATTACCCCTTTTAATATAGATTAGTCAGAATTGGCTAACCAAACATGTTTATAACAAAATCTAATAATGTCATAGAAAGGTGTGTTATTGAATCAACCTGTCCAATATGGCAGCTTCTATGTTGTGGTGGTATGCTTAAAAATTAATGATTTTGTGAGTTTTCATTCATAGATGTTTGGATTTTGATGTCAGGAAAACCAAGTAAAGACATGAATATTCTGGAGATATTGTAGGCCATTCTTGTAGCAAAAAAAAAAAAGTATGGTTGTTTGGAGTACCAGTTGTATCCTGTTTTCTTTTCAATCACAGTTGATGAGACTACCATGAAACTCCATGTACAAATGATGACCATTCGACTCATTGGCCACTGCTGCCCATCTGATGTTCTCCTACTTATGCTCATTTTATTGATTGAGGCTTGGAATTTTGCATAAGCCACAAATTTGTCTCAAAAAATCTTTGAGCTCTGAGATGTAGTTGTTCTTAAATTGTAGCTTTTGGATTGGCCATATTTTCTTTCATGTATGTTTCATCTGAGACACGTATGAGTGCATTTTGTTCCAGGAGGTTAGCTGTTTTCCCTTCTACATTAATGACAAGTTTGAAGGAAATAAAATAGGATTTAGTTCTGATGACAACTTGAACTGCACTGGTAAAGTGCATATATTGTTGATGGAGATATATACTGTTAATTTCTTGTATTCAATTTTCATGCAAATGACCAAAATCAGATATTAACAAGTAAAGATGCAACTAACATATTGTCTTACCATAATCTTGCCGGAAAGTATATAGTGGTATGGAGAGGTTAACTTGTGAAATAGTTCACATTTTTTTTGTGCTGGTGAGACAGAGAAGTACTAGAAAAAGGAAAAAAGTCAAACAACTATGTCATGATCCCCCCAAAAAAGAGGTATTGAGCAAAATTTCATGGGAAAATTAGCTCAGGGGAAGGTGTTGTAATGGAATGTCCCCCTCACCCTATTGCCTATTGTGGACTGACTATATCAGTATATATAGTGTGCACAAGACATACCTGGTGAACTTGCTTTGAGAATTACTAGCTTGAACCAATTTTCTGTCTTTCAGTAGTATATTCTCTTTTACAATAAACCTCTCTTTCTTTCATCTATGCACGTGTTGCTGTTCCTTTCTCTTGACTACCAGCTTTTTCTGTTTGTAACCTATTTAAGGATACAACACATTTAAATTTGAGTTACCTTAAAACTGGTAAAATTTAAGAATAAATTCAATTTGTAAAGGCTTAACTTTCAATGCAGCTTTACTAGCTTACCGATCTGTATTTTTGACAGTCACTATTATATTGTACATGACTGTTAATCTATTGACTATATGATAATAAACAAACTGAACAAACTACAAAAAATATACCAATTTAACTTTTGAAATATAAAACAAAGATAATTCTTTTCTTGATGCAATATTCGATCAATTAGAAGTGAGTTGTATAACAGCTATTGGCATCATAAGCAAAATCTCGAAACCAAATTCAAATTGTTAAGTAGTAGTAACAAAAAAGCTGTTTACACCATTGTCTCCCATAACTGGGTTGCAGTATAATGCAACCAGATTTTCCTTTGGAAATATAATTTTCTGATGATGAGATTTTAACTTTTGATACTGTTCTTTGGAGTTCCTTAGAGCTTTTCACAAATTTTTAAAAGATTAGTTTTTTTGCTGAGACTCAAGCTCTCATTTTTTCTTCTCTCAGACAGCCTTGTTATCCATACTAGCTGCTCTGTGGTATAGTCAGTGTCAGAAATCAAATCAGTTTTAACAAAATAGAGCTAGTCCTTATTTTTTTATGATTGTTTGGTGCCTTATTTCTTATTCTTTCTTTTTTATGTACACTTGTTGCATTGTAACATTATCTTGAATTTTTTATAAGAAGATTAATCAATAAAATGTGGCATTAATGTTGAGAAGCTTTGGAAGAATAAAGCAAAATTTAAAGACTATTTTGTATTATTTTTACTTTGGTTAGTCTCTTTAACTACTTTGAAACAACTGACAAAATATATTGTAAGAAATATTTTGTCTTGGAATGCCTAATAAGATACCCCACTGCTATATCACATGTTGAGAGGTCTTGTAACTACTTATGCTGTACTGAAAATAGTGTAAGTAAATTGGTATCAAAATCTAATTCCACATACTCTCCCAAGGTGGTAATACTTGTCACTTTCTGATAAGTGTGATTTAGACAGCAACAAGAAAACAATGTCTTCATATTTAAATATGGTGATAATCATGAAGAAACATTATGAATATATTTCTAAGAAACTTTGAAATAGTTTTGTATTTTTCTTAAATTCTGGCAATGAATTGGAAAGTGATTTAATATTTAATGATGATAAAGACAGTTAAAGCAATGATTGTCCTGTTGGGTAGCTGAAGAGATCTCTCATGGGAATATTTTTGTCTTGAGTCTTTTATAATGGCAATTGATCAGTTTGTGGTCAAGACAATTCATAGATGGTGAAGGCAGTTAGTTTTTCTTGGCGTGACTGTTAAGATATTTTTGCTGATATGATGTCAAACATTAATATTGACAATATATAGAAATCTCAAAAAGAGAGGAAAAATGAGTTTTCACTAAAAACATTTTTAAAAAAATCATCTTGCTTTGTGGCAAAAAAGGATAAAGGAAACATCCCAGTTGCAAGTGGTTATTTAGACAAAATGAAGAGAACGAAAAATATAGTGCTTTGAAGATTACCAAGCTGATAAGAAAAAAAGATCTTGCTATATAATATGCCAAGTGAGTTTTTGTCTGCAATATCTAACTATTTGCTGTGCTATACTTATTTCTCTAGAAATAGCTATGATGATGGCAGACCATTCCAAGATATTTATAAAGTTGGGAACTGAACAAACTTTGTAAAAGAGCAGAGTAAGAGTACAACAATAATAATTGGGTGGCATAAATAAACTCTCTCTATATATATATATATATATATATATATATATATATATATATATATATATATATATATAATGAGATAGTGGAAAATTTATAAATGACATGTTTTACCAATTTGCCAACTGTGTATACTCTTTTTGGCTTCTTCAGGTTAGAATGGAAAGCCAAAATGGAAGACAAAGAGAGCAGATACTCTCGTTGAAATGTGTTCATAAATTTTCCACCTTGCCTCGTCTTTTGTTTCAGATACTATTATACATTCTATACACACACACACACACACACGCACACATGATAAAATATAGTTTTAAGGTATACTATATTTATGGGTTAAAGTGCTCAATATCAGGGTTAGAGCATATGTAAATATAAAAGGAGACAGTGAAGTCAACACTCAGTTTGTTTGATGTTTATATGCAATCATCAGGCCTGAAAATTGTGTATAAGCATGAGACTGTCACCTCTGTGTATTAACTTAAATTTCCACTTCATATATATATATATATATATATCATTAAAGACAACAAGCAAGATACTGCAATTAAGCTTTTTATTTAATTTTTTTGTGTTTGAACAAGTGTTTTCTTTTCTGGACACAGATTGTGTAGAAACTGTCCAACTCATCAACAAAACCAAAATTACAACATTATTTATGAGTTCAGATGCCCCTTAAGGAACTGTGTTCCTCATCAAACGAAACTCATAAATAATTACATCGGTCACACTACTACATGCCTATCCAGACACCTCATGTTACACTTACTTGACTACAACTCCGTTAGAACCCATTTAAACACACACACAAACTTACCAGACTCCATCTGAAACACGCTAGCAGAAAATACAAACATAATAACCTCATCCACATGTAAAAAAGATTAAAAATAATGGAAGCCTTAATAATAAAAAAGAAAAAAGCCAACAGTCAATAATATCAACTACAAACATGACCACAATGTGGTGTGTTCGGAAAATAAAACATCCCTATAACTCTAGAAACATACACACAACCGATACATCCAGTTAAAAAGTAAAAATAAAATCATCCTTCATAATGGTTAAAAGTATAGCTGAAAGCACTCAGAATTCCAGATCATTTGGACAGTTTCTACACACACTGTGTTCAGAAAAGAAAACTCTTATTTGAACTAAAGTTGTTCTGATATGTAAAAAATTATATATCGTTTTCCCAGATATATTGTGAAACAACTATTGAAAGAGTTTGCCAAAGAGGCACACCAGGAAAAAGAGAGCTCAACTCCAAATTGGCAGAACATTATATTATATCATAATATATTTCAGTATACTCTTGACTGAGAACTACCAATAGTTTCATACATGGTGGTTACATGCAGTCCTCATGTAACTAGTAATTGTATTCAGTGACACAAGCATTTTATATGTGAGGATTGTACCACCATATATTAAACCATTAGTAGTGGTCAGTCAAGAGTATACTGGAATGTATTATGATATATAATGTTACGAGGCACGGTGGAGTATTGGATAGCAGTCGGATTGAGGAATC